AGTTTACATTTTGAGTCAACTTTATCACCAATTCTCATGTCGTAAAGTCAAACATTTGATTACTATCGTCTTAAAGGTCTAAGTTGTTTGAGATCAATCACGTAGCACAAAACTAAGGCTTTTCAAACTATATCCTTTACAATTTGTATTTGTGCGAGCGTAACGTTAAATAACACGAAATGTAAAATCTCATAGCGTGATCATAATATGATCTCAGTTACCCGAAAATAAAACATTTGCTTTAGGAAACTCTAATTAAAAAGGTGAGAGAATTAAAACGAATAAACTAGGAAGAACGAACGAGTAGTGTGTTGAAGAGATAAACGACAATCCGTGGAACCATTGTGTCGGCTAAAACAATTTGGAGGGTAATTGCAGGGGCGGGGAGGGGTAAGCTCTACATGGGCGATAACTCTCTACTTAACACAATTAATTGGCCCCTCTGTTAGTAATTAAAGCTAATTAAGTCGAGCCTGTGACTTAAGTCGTCCCTCCCCCGTTGCCAAGCGACTAGCGACTCTACGCCACTTGTGGCGGGCCCAACAACTCTTACAATGTTCATCCAACCCTGTAATGTACTACCTGTTTGCACCGTGTACACCGATCTAATACTCGCTCTAAAAACATCCGCCAAACTCACGTTTCTAGCTTTTAATTTCATCATAGTGCAATTATATCTAGTTAAACTATCAAATTGGTTCATTTTTCTGCTTTTTAATAATAGCTAAAAGATCGGAATCTAGAACCAAATTATTCCACGATGGGAAGTTTTAAAAGCCTAGTTATTGGGTTTGAGCAGGTTCATTTGCATAACTGATAGACAATTGTATGTTTGTAATACTGTATTACGTCACTAGTCCGGAAAACGGGTATTTGCCGGAGGACTAAGGTAAACTCGTTTTGGACGAGTGACGATATATTTTTAGCCATACTATTCTAAACTAAAGTAAAACCATTTAAACCCCTAAATAAATTAATAATCAGCATTTGTACTTGTTATTAAATTTACTTACAGTTAAGTACAGTAATAAAATGCGTCTAATAACACTAAAACATAATATTAACACTATTATAGGCTACTGTTAATTCATAAGACGGTGTTCGCATATTGAATCTGATGGTGATTGGATTGTCCAATCAAAATCAACCACCCATCTTTTATATACATTTTCCGTCTTGTGACAGTTAAAGTTTAAATATATGTTTTTAGTGTTGTTAAAAGTATTTTTCATTTACTTCCCGTTTAAAAAAAACTGGCTAAATTCGTGTTCCCACCTACTTAAAAATCACCTCTTATAGCTTTTTCGAAAGGTTACGTCTTCGTATAACCCATCACCACCATTTTATTATACTACTTTGATTACTTATAATATCAAACCTTTTTTCTAAAACTGTACTTTATAATTAGATTAAGGAAAAACTTATTAAATTGATAATTACTTATGTTTACAAAATAAATGAGGTTTTCAATGACTAAAATCACTATGATAATGCGGTGTCAGACAAAATTCGTTACTGTTATCACAGTTCCTTTAGAGCGTATATCGCCTTCGACCGGTTACATAGACGAGAATAGTCAAAGTTCTGATAGAAAGAAAACCAGCTTCGTACGATTCCAATTGAAGAATGTAAACACTGAGAAGAAGAATATAAAGAGGGATGCATAGACGAGAATAGTCAAAGTTATGATAGAATGAAAATCAGCTTCGTCCGATTACAATTAAAGAATTTAAACACTGTTTCGGTATATTGTTAATGAAATTCGTCCGATTACAATTAAGGAATGTAAACATTGTTTCGGTATATTGTTAATGAGATTCGTTCGATTACAATTAAAGAATGTAAACACTGTTTCGGTATATTGTTAATGAGATTCGTCCGATTACAATTAAAGAATGTAAACACCATTTCGGTATATTGTTGATGAGATTCGTCCGATTACAATTAAAGAATGTAAACACTATTTCGGTATATTGTTGATGAGATTCGTCCGATTACAATTAAAGAATGTAAACACCGTTCCGGTATATTGTTAATGAGATTCGTCCGATTACAATTAAAGAATGTAAACACTGTTTCGATATATTGTTAATGAGATTCGTCCGATTACAATTAAATAATGTAAACACCATTCCGGTATATTGTTAATGAGATTCGTCCGATTACAATTGAAGAACGTAAACACCGTTCCGGTATATTGTTAATGAGATTCGTCCGATTACAATTGAATAATGGAAACACTGTTCCGGTATTATGTTAATGAGATTCGTCCGGTTTCGATTGACGAGAAAGTCAAAGTTTTGATAGAGTGGAAATCAGTTCCAGTTCCGGCCGGTTTTGATTGACGAGTGTAGTCACAGTTCCGGTAGAATGGATATCAGCTTTGTCCGGTGACTGGTTCCTACTCCGAGACGTTCCGCTCGACAGACGAATACATCCTCTTGCAACATGGCTATTACTGTAGTTGGCAGTTGCATACAAAAAGACTCTTCTCACATTTCACCAAAAACAAGGAATTATTTTTGCCTTTGATGTTTAGTATTATTTTAGTACATTGCACTATTTAAGATAACGAGTTGAATACTGTAATTAGAGTTAACGATTTCATAGATTCTCGGTAGATGTGTACTTACAATTAATGTCCATCATTCAAATTAATTATAATACGTTTAATATTTGAACGTTCTTTATCTCAGATACCTTTAGATCTTGTTAATCGTCAAAACCGCCAAAGCCGTCATCGCTTCTTAGTTTTCACTCAAGTAATGCTCACTTGAGATTGACAAATTTTTACTGTCCAGAATTTTTAACTTTAAAATCGTAAAGCTGTAAACATGTAAAGCTTTTAATTGGATCATATTTATTTACAAGTGTCGTTTAATATATATACTGCTTAAATAAAATGTATCTTCAAGGGAATACAGTAGTGACAACTGTTGAAAATTTATATTTTCATTCTATACTGCAAACCTAACCCTTCAATAAATAGGAACTACACCCTCTCAGCTTAAACTGCGTCCAATAAAATTCATTAAAAATTGGCGGAGCGGGTTATTCGGTATTTAATAACCGCTCCTAAATCTCAGAGCGGTCGAAGCGTGTTTTTAATGGGTAACGGGAACCGAGTTGATATTAAATACAAATCCGACACAAAGTTGTGTGTTTACAGGATTAAAACGAGAGGGTGCTCGGTAGCGTGGCGGGGTGGGCGGGGGAAGGGTGGTAAGCCTGCTAGGCCTATAATTGCATGTAAAATGCTGAAAACAATCTCGAAGCTCATTACGCCGAAATGATTATTAATTTCGACAACGTTGTCTGCTCGCTGAAAACGTAAGCGGTTTTATTTGCAACTAATTGATTCAGTCGGTGTTAATCAAACCAAATGCTCCTAAAATGGCATCGCTAATTGATCGAATCGCCGCCACGGACCAGTGGCTCTGAGCCGGTTACCGTCATTACGTGAGCCACTGTGTGTGCTCTAGCTGCAATAGCACCTACACGTATACAAACATGTGCCCATTGTTCAGTGGCTCTGAGCCGGTTACCGTCATTACGTGAGCCACTGTGTGTGCTCTAGCTGCAATAGCACCTACACGTATACAAACATGTGCCCATTGTTCAGTGGCTCTGAGCCGGTTACCGTTATTACGCGAGCTACTGTGTGTGCTCTAGCTGCAATAGCACCTACACGTATACAAACATGTGCTCATTGACCAGTGGCTCTGAGCCGGTTACCGTCATTACGTGAGCCACTGTGTGTGCTCTAGCTGCAATAGCACCTACACGTATACAAACATGTGCCCATTGTTCAGTGGCTCTGAGCCGGTTACCGTCATTACGTGAGCCACTGTGTGTGCTCTAGCTGCAATAGTACCTACACGTATACAAACATGTGCCCATTGTTCAGTGGCTCTGAGCCGGTTACCGTCATTACGCGACTATTGTGTGTGTCCATGGGCCAGTGACTCTGAGCCAGTTGCCGTTATTACATGAGGTACTGTGTGTGCCCATGGACCAGCGACACTGAGCCAGTTGCCGTTATTACATGAGGTACTGTGTGTGCCCATGGACCAGCGACTGTGAGCCAGTTGCCGTCATTACATGAGGTACTGTGTGTGCCCATGGACCAGCGACTCTGAGCCAGTTGCCGTTATTACATGAGGTACTGTGTGTGTCCATGGACCAGCGACTGTGAGCCAGTTGCCGTCATTACATGAGGTACTGTGTGTGCCCATGGACCAGCGACTGTGAGCCGCCATTACGCCGTCATTACCGTCATTACGCGAGTCACTGTGTGTGCTCTAGCTGCAATAGCACCTACACGTATACAAACATGTGCCCATTGTTCAGTGGCTCTGAGCCGGTTACCGTCATTACGTGAGCCACTGTGTGTGCTCTAGCTGCAATAGTACCTACACGTATACAAACATGTGCCCATTGTTCAGTGGCTCTGAGCCGGTTACCGTCATTACGCGACTATTGTGTGTGTCCATGGGCCAGTGACTCTGAGCCAGTTGCCGTTATTACATGAGGTACTGTGTGTGCCCATGGACCAGCGACACTGAGCCAGTTGCCGTTATTACATGAGGTACTGTGTGTGCCCATGGACCAGCGACTGTGAGCCAGTTGCCGTCATTACATGAGGTACTGTGTGTGCCCATGGACCAGCGACTCTGAGCCAGTTGCCGTTATTACATGAGGTACTGTGTGTGTCCATGGACCAGCGACTGTGAGCCAGTTGCCGTCATTACATGAGGTACTGTGTGTGCCCATGGACCAGCGACTCTGAGCCGCCATTACGCCGTCATTACCGTCATTACGCGAGTCACTGTGTGTGCTCTAGTTGTAATGTCACCTACATACGGATACAAATATGTGCCCAGCCCATGGACCAGTGGCTTAAAATCCTAAATATATTTGTGTGATCAATAAATATAATCTTTTACAAACTTTCAAAGTATTTTCATAAAATAGCTAATCACATATGCACTTGGTTTCAGGGCGAGAAGGTTTTCACCAGTTCGGTGAGGATGAGGACGACGCCAGTATCGGAGAGGGAGCAGGAAGCGACATCAGTGAGGACAGGGACGGCTCCAGGAGAGGGTCGGGTGGCAAGAAGTGCAGCAAGTCTGACATGAGCAGCTCGTCCAAGGGCGGTAGTGGAGGTGGTCAGGGCGGCAAACCTCGCCGTGCCAGGACAGCTTTTACTTACGAGCAGTTGGTAGCTCTGGAGAACAAGTTCAAGACGACAAGGTATCTGTCTGTGTGCGAGAGACTCAATTTGGCATTGTCCTTATCACTGACAGAGACGCAAGTCAAGATATGGTTCCAGAACAGAAGGACTAAGTGGAAGAAGCAGAACCCTGGGATGGACGTTAACTCGCCCACAGTTCCGCCGCCCGGACCTCCTACCACTGGGCCGCCGTTCTTCCACCCCCTGGCGTACGCTCCTCATCACTACCCCTCGGGCTTCACCTCCCCCGGACAGAGCTACGGCGCCGCTGCCGCCTACTTCCACCACCTCGGGTCTACTCACCACTCGTCTCTCGGACATTCCTCCTGAGCCTAGTTCTGGTAGACTCTCCTAGACTACATATCAAAGATTACTCGGTGCCAAAGTGTTGTGCCACTGTTGTCAAGACTGTTCGATGTACATAGCGATCGGTTAGTATTAGTGAACATTACCAAAGACACCTCCAGAGGGCTTTAGAACTTTAACGGTTATTTAAGTGTTTCATAACTTGATAGTCTGCAAAGGATCAAACAGCAGCTTATCTCGGTTTTGTATTTAACTGAAAGTTAAATTTTCTAGTCAAAGATGAGTACCAGAAATCCTTAAATATAATTTAAAATAGCTTAGCTCAGACCGCTAATTCAACTACTACACGGGTAAAACAATATATTTTTGTAATCTAACAAATCCAAAACAAGCCAATATTTAACTTTTGGACATAACCTCAAAGTGTAATCTACCCCGTAACTGTTACATTGATGTAATGTTTTTACTGCAGGGACTATGTTTTTATAATCTATATGATGGGTGCACATGGGATAGAATTATTTGAAAATCCTACTGATATTTAAAAATTACAGCAATTGTATGCAACATTTTCAATTCTTCAAGGCTTTCATTTACAAGACAGAATAAGCTGTTTATAACGCAAAAACATATTACTTTTTTAAGTGCATTAAAATTTGTCGTAAAAATAGCCGAAAGATGAACTGAAACAAATTTTTAATTTTCCAATGTAATAACCTTTCACAATAAATACCTCATTCTGTCGTAAAATTCCTTAAAACATATGATAATAATGTCTATAATATGCAATTTTATTATAAAGATAGCACATCAAAACTAAATTATTGTATATTACCATTCATGCTGTTTTCCATGGATGCGTCGTTTGGAAGATGATACAAATCAGTTAAATATGTGAGGTCGAACGAAACGTGAAGTTTCGTTAGTATTGGCCCGATGCTACTTTGCCTATGATAAAACATGGAATAAATGACAAAATAGTTTTGTTAGTTTAAATATGCAGATAAAAATCAGAACAAAACATCAACGAGGTGTATTAATTTATATTTGTAAAACTGTTAACTGGTGGAAAATGCAATACATAAGATCTAGACTAATTTATTTAATTGATTATAGATGATCAATGTTATTTTACGAGATTGATTTCGAAATATCCAACCCTCCAAAGTTGCATTTACAGTACTTATTTACTCAGAGAGCGAATTTATTCAGTGGACCCAAACAAGAGCCAAATAAAATTCAATAATTAATAACTTGTTCAAACTGTGTTAAATAACGGCAATCAAATCTTGCATAGATGTGATGCACCCCCCCCCCCCTTGAGCCGCGCAAACAAAGTCACTCGGCTAAACTATTAGGCTAATGAAAATCAATTATAAAACTGTCAATTTCATTAAATGTGAAATAATATTGCTAATTAAAGTAATCAATTTACTTTCGTCTTAACTCTGTTTCTGTCCAAATACAGTAACTGAACGCTGGTGAACCAATTAAATTTAATTACTTTTGCCTCCATCGTTGAGGAAGTTATTTTCATTATCTTCAAATAGGTTTCACAGTGTTTAAGTAATATGGTCATAAATGTTCAATTCCAACAATTTTGTTTATTTAGTTAAGGATATAATTTGTATTTGGTTTTAATAGCTCAGTATGCTAAAACATTTTGATTTACAGTTACTTTTATTATTTGAAACGAGTGTATTGGTTCATTGCTTGTTGCGTCTCTCTTAGTGGTTCTTTATACTTGTATATGAAACTTGGTAAAATGAAAAAATATTGGACATCCTAAAAATGCAAGTATGGTCTTGGACATTACTTTACTACCAACGGTTACCACATACTTTTATCTCGAATTGATATTTATTTTTAATTAGTTGCATGTCGTTAAAATGTATATGAAGCACTTGGTAGCCTAGTATGTCAAGCTATTACTAGTCATTTTGTAAAAATCATTTACATTAATTCGAATCTCAACAAAACCCAACAAATAACACATCGTAAATACACTAACCATATGATTTTCTAATTAAGTAAAGGTGAAGAAAATGTATTATAGCGTTGACTATTGACATCCCATCTATATGGATCATATGTTGCCAATTTTTTACTAAAAATGAACGTATTTGTGTGAGCTAGTCACAGAATGTGCTAGTGTCTGAAATTCAATTTCTACATTTATATTTGTTGCTGAAATAGTTGGTGAGTCATATCAGTTGCTAAGTCGTTCCATCAGTTTGACTTGGTAAAAATCATCGTGTATTTGACAGAAATTACTAGTTTAGATCAGCCCAAACTGTCAGTGGGCCCATCAACTACGATAAATTTGATTTAAAAACTGGCTACAGCTTTAACATGGGGATGGAAAGTCAAAGATTATACTTAAAAATAACTTTGGATAATAGTTCAGACGATTATTTTATAAGGGGAAAACTCCTTATAAGAATACAATTTTACTTAAAGCATTAACCATCAGAAAATATCATTGTCTATTTTTTTTATAGTAAATTCAAGTATTTTCTTATTCTGTGATCACTTTAAACCAATAACATTTCATACAGTTATCAGGTATTTGAACTAACTAAAATTACATAGCACAAATATAGGCTTACATCAATAGAATTATTTATTTTGAAATAATGCCCAAAACTCTGACAGCATAGGATACTGTTAATTTCCATTTCAAATTTATAAAATAAAAATTTGCAAAATCATTAATTTTTATACGAGTTTAAGAATAAAAATCAACGCCCTCGTGTCTGTATTTTGTTTGTATAAGAATGTTCTTATAAAACATATTTTGTTTGATTACTGAATCACATGGTACATGGATTACATGGTAATTAAAAGTATTATTACGAGTTCATTGAGTGGTAAAAAAATAAATTCTATGTTCAGTTGAATCATTTCTGATTATATTTATTTATTGTTTAGATGCCAATATAACATAGGACGTCTATTTAAAATCTTTTATTTCTAGTCGGGTATTCTTAAATTTTATTTATATTTATGAATAACTAAAATATACTAATTACAATATGTGACTCTAGATTTAATGTTATGGCATCTAAATCAACTATTCTTTGTAAAAACGTCCAGCAAAACACTTGTTTGATTTGAGGGTAGATTTAAGTTTGTTTCCACGGCTTGTTATATTTCCAGTAGTTTATTTATAAGTAAGGCTCGATATACTGTAACATGAAAGAGCCTTGGCAGTGTCTGATCGAGTTTTTAACACGACGAGTTACAGTAACAGTGCCGATCAGACGTTTTGTTTCTGTATTTGAGGTTTTAACCTTTTTCAAAACCCCGTTAAAAGTTGTTAAACTATTTTGTTCATAGTCTATACACATGGTGAAAGTCAGCCATTACCTGCGGTGGCAATGTAGAGTTAATTGTTAAACTTACTTGTCTGGCCAGCGTTTTGATCGAGACATTCATTGTGATTCATTGAAATGTATTTATGTTGTAAAGTTTGTATATAATAAATTGTAGATTACTATTATAACACAAGACTTTTATATGTTCCCGACTGCTATCATAAGTTCGATACCCAAAACGATCCTACAAATATGATTTACAGCATCGTATGTGCTCAGTTATACCTAGCAGCTATACCCAGCAGTTATACCCAGCAGTTATACCTAGCAGTTATACCTAGCAGTTATCAGTGCTGCCTTGTAAGTACAAGATTTGTCTATAAGATCAGACCACTAAAAAGTAGTTAAAGTTTCCACTCATTTCCTCACAACGTGATAGTTGATCAATCAAAACTAATAAATTAATATTGATTAATGTGAGCGCTTGTATATGTATATAGTTCACATCACAATGATGTGCAATAATGTGTTTAAATAATTTATAAATAAAAATACTTTTTAAAAATTCCACGTTTTTAAACGCACTAAAAAGTATAAAATAATTTATAAATATGTTGAGAGAATAAATACTTGTAAGATTTAAAACTAAAAACGTGGGGCACATGCTAATTTACAATTAACTTCACCTATTGAACTATTATGATATATCAATATAATGTCTGCGCCCCACGTTTTTCGTTTTAAATCTTACAAGTATTTATTCTCTCAACATATTTATCAATTATTTTATACTTTTTAGTGTGTTTAAAAAAGTGGCATTTTTAAAAATTATTTTTATTTATAAATTATTTTCTAACAATTTTTAGTCTTTAATGTGTAAATGTGTTAAATCTATTTTATATGGCCTGTTAATACATAACCAACACCTTATTATCTGTAGTCAGATGTTTTATCTTTACTTTGAAATGCTCGTTTTATATTTTTAGAATATCTCGGGAGCAAAACCTGTGTCTCTTAACCTCTTCTCTTCGAACTGTCAAATTTAAGTATTTACAGCTGACTCAAATTAATTGATATATTTACATTCTTTCAAAATGTAAACATGAAAAATTTGGAAGTCCATGGGGCGTAGCCCAAGGAAAATAGGAAAATTAAATTATATAATACTAGCTGTTGTACCCGTGCTTTGCAACGGGAAGAGGACACAAAATATAACATTTTAATCTTTATCTCTTGCATATAATAGTTACACATCCGCCAACGCTTTTAGAAACAAAATTCAACTTTTATGGCCTTAATAGAAACGTTTAAGTTATGACTTCTAAATCTGGTAAGTAGTGGATACCACCATTTTGGTTTTGATTAATTTTAAATCTTGTGTAGGCTGATATGAGATAAACTGACCAAATCTTCGAGTAAAACTTTGACATACATGATTTACCAGATTTATCTTCATCTCCCTTAGTTACACATCTTTTGATTTATTATTGACATTTTAAATTTCAATTTTAAAGTTGCGAAAATACTAATTATTAAATTTAAATATCTTTATATTAAACCCTTCTTTATATTAAAACACAAATCATTTCATCTTCAATTAAATGATATAATATTGCATTTTCATCCATTTGTGTCATCCATGTTTCAAGTTTCAAGTCTCTAGCTCATCGGAAAGTTAGTATAAAATTGATATCAAAATTTGTACCGGACAAGAAAGCGAACTAATAAAAACATTTTAAAAAGGTAATTCATGAGTAAACACTCTTTTTAAAGAAATCTTGAGAATATTGTTAAGACACAAATTTATCTGTACCAATTATGTTATTCACGCATGAACGGGATGTACTGTACCATGATTAGGTATTGCTTTGAAAGTTTCGTATATGTCATATTTCCTTGTGTAGTTTGGTTTTACAGTTTATTTTTTTTTAGTTTCGGGTGTTTGATAAAAAATAGGGATTCTAAATGAAAAAAGGTGTAATTTGGAAAGTTTCTCTATTACAGATTCATGTGAATCATCCGATCTTAATAACTATCAT